GAGAAATGATGGAAACAATCTTTTTAGTCATCTTACCGTATTTAAATAGTGCCACAGCAAAAAGACTAAAGGTGTTTCAGATGGTAAAGAATCTGCCTGCAAACCAGGAGACCCAGCTTCTAATCCTGGGTTAAGATTCCCTGGAGAAGGGAATGGCTATCTACTCCAATATTCTTGCCTGGAGAATTCCATGGACAAAGGAGCTTGACAGGCTATAGTCCATGAGGCTATAGTCCGTGTCTGTGAGGACATGACTGAGCAACTAACCCTTTCACTTTGGGCTTCCCAGGTGGCTCAGTGGTTAAAAAAAACATCTGCCTGCCAATGCAGGAGATGTGGGTTCGATCCCTAGGTTGGGAAGATCTCCTGAAGAAGGAAATGGCAACCGTCTCCAGTATTCTTGCCTGGGAAATTCCATGGATAGAGAAACCTAGCGGGCTATGGTCCATGGAGTCACAAAGAGTCAGACACAACTGAGTGACTGAACGCATTAACATAAAAGATGGGAAATGGGCTGTGATTTTTCTTCTAGGCAGAGAGGAGTACTCATACTTCGTCTTAGGTACAGAAGAGAGGGAGGGAGAAGTAACACTGCCGCCCACTGGAGTCCACTTATCCCAGACGCAGAGAGGCACTCAGCCTTAGACTCCCCAACCCGAGAGGAAGCCTGTGCTCTGTAGCATTCCCTTTATTGCTTGAGATACAGGAGTCTATGTGAATTCTCTGTCCACACACCACATCCTTGAAGAATCGGCTTCACCCTTTTTCCCCCCGTCTGCATTCCTTGACATTACACTCTGATTCTGTGGTTTGTGATATCCACCTAAATCCAAACCTTATTCATAGAAGAGCCTTTGGTATGTTTCTAAGGAAAGTGAACTTGAAGTCTGATGACCCAGTTTCAAGTTCAGGAACCACAACTTAACCAGTGATACTACTTTAGACTTAACCTTTCTGTGGCATATTTTCACTGATTATAAATTTCAAATAATAATACTTGCCTTAATTTTTCCGCACATTGTTTTGAGCATGAAATGAGGCAAGAATACAAAAATATTTTGTAAAAGTTATATCTGTTTTTGTTTTTATTTTTGTAATTTAAAAGTGTTAAAAATATTGCTTAGATTCTTCTACACTTCAGATTCCTTTCAGGCAAACTAGTAGTTACCAGAGAGGCCAAAAGTAAGTAGAAATGAAGTCAACAACTATAGATCATCACAATACCTGGGGACTTCCCTTAATCCACTTGGTTCCTCTGAACCTGGGTACTTGGAGTATATGGTCTGTGGATCAGAAGCATTGGTGTAACCTGAGAGCTTGTAGAAATGCAGACTCTTGGGTTCCACCCTAGACTTACAGGTTCAGAATCTGCATTTTAATAACTCCAGATGCTTTGTGTACACATTTAACTTTGAGAAGCACAATGTGGCATATTATGTGGCACGATGATGAAAATCAGAACCACAATGAGGTATCACCTCACCCTGGTCAGAATGGCTATCATCAAAAAGTCTATAAAAGTAAATCCTGGAGAGACTGTAGAGAAAAGGGAACCCTCCTACACTATTGGTGGGAATATAAATTGGTGCAACCAGAATGAGAACAGTATGGAGGTTCCACAAGAAACTGAAAACAGAGATGTCATATGATCCAGCAAGTCCACTCCTGGGCATATATCTGGAAAAAACTCTTAACTCAAAAATCATACATCCAATGTTCATAGCAGCACTATTTGCAATAGCCAAGACATGGAAGCAACCTAAATGTCCCTTGATGGATGAGTGGATAAAGAAGATATGTGTGTGTGAGTGTGTGTGTGTGTGTGTGTGTGTGTATACACATAATGGAGTATTATTACTCAGCCATATAAAGAGTGAAATAATGTCATTTGCACTAACATGGATGAACTTAGAAATTATCATACTAAGAGTATTAAGTTGAACAAAAACAAATATCATATGGTATCACTAATATGTGGACTCTTTAAAAGAAGATAAAAATGAACTTATTTACCGAATTGACTCACAGACGTGGAAAACAACTTACAGTTACTAAAGTGAGAAGGTAAGGGAGGGATAAATTTGGCATTTTGGATTAACAGATACCAACTACTATATATAAAACAAATAAACAACAAGGACCTACTGTATAGCATGAGGAACTGTATTTAATATCTTATAATAAATGCAAAAAGGCAAAATGGTTGTCTTAGGAGGCCTTTCAAGTAGCTGAGAAAAGAGAAGTGAAAGAAAGGCAAAGAAGAAAAGGAAAGATATACCCATCTGCATGCAGAGTTCTAGAGAACAGCAAGGAGAAATAAGAAAGCCTTCCTAAGTGACCAATGCAAAGAAATAGAGGAAAACAATAGAATGGGAAAAACTAGAGATCTCTCCAAGAAAATTAGGGATTCCAAGGGAACATTTCATGCAAAGATGGGCTCAATAAAGGACAGAAATTGTATAGACATAACAGAAGCAGAAGATATTAAGAAGAGGTGGCAATAATACACAGAAGAACTGTACAAAAGAGATCTTCATGTCCCAGATAATCATGATGGTGTGATCACTCACCTAGAGCCAGACATCCTGGAATGTGGAGTCAAGTGGGCCTTAGGAAGCATCACTACGAACAGAGTTAGTGGAGGTGATGAAATTCCAGTTGAGCTATTTCAAATCAATCCTAAAAGATGATGCTGTGAAAGTGCTGCACTCAATATGCCAGTAAATTTGGAAAACTCAGCAGTGGACACAGGATTGGAGAAGGTCAAGTTAATACTTGAATCTATCACCTTACCCATATTACAGCATTTATTTGGGAAGAATTTCCTTGCAAATGTTACTCTTTAGCCTCCTGATCATTTTTTTTGCTCCCCATGAAAAATCTTCCCAGGGAGAAGAAACAAACATCACATTTATATCTTCTAAGGGAAAAAATGGGAAACGTTAAAAAGTATTAATAGGAAAAAAAACTTTTCAGAGATTTATAAATTGAAGAAGGGTAGTAACTGGCACTATTGTAAAGAAAGATATCTATGAAAATTCTTGAATTGTCTGCATACAAAGCTGAGATAGTTAACTTGATTTTTAAAATATTACTTAGACTTCTTATTGTCCTCCTGTGGGTGGTATCCATATTTGAGCTATTTTTTGTTGTTTTAGTGGAGATACATTCTGAAATAATTTCTTTCCTACAGTCACTGAGTTTACCTACTTCCTAAAGTCTTTAATTTAAAGTATATACATCAAACATAATTAGGAGACAAGTAGCAGACTAGGGGAGAACTTTGCATATACACATGACAAAGGCTTAATGTCCTTAATATATACAGAGTTCTCTAAATGACGGAAAAAGAAGAATAAACCGGTAGAAAAATGGGAGAGGATATAAACCTGAAGAAAAAAATTTTAATGGCTATTAAACATGAAAACATATTCAATCCATATATCATCAAGCACAAATCAAAACAAGTTGTCATTTTCTTTCATGTTGACCAAATTAAAATGTTTGAAAAACCCCAGTGTTAAAGGATAGGGAGGAAAAAAACATGTTGAAATTATGAACTGAATAGTTTTTCTGAAGGGTGATTTGGCAGTATTTATCAAAATGTGAAATGCATGTACACTATGACCGTGAAATTTCACCAATATGCAGAGATATATAAAATAATGTTACAGCATTATTTGTAACAGCTTGCACTGAAAGCGGTCTCTTTGGCCCCTCAGGAAAGTTTACAGCAGTACCATTATTTATTGAGCCAGTGGCAAAATATTCAGCAGCTTAAAAAGTGTGTTAGATTTATATGGAAAAAAAAGTGGGAAAAACCAAAGTGTAGAATCCTGTGTATAATATAGTCCCATTTGTATTCTTTTGAAAAAGAGGATAAAAGGATGCTAATGTGTGTGGGGGGAAAAGTTCTTTGAAAAGATGTGCCAGCAACAGATAGCTGTTAATTCTGGGAAGAATTAACATCTCCTCCTGTCCCCACTCTTAGCCACACCTCTAATAGTAATGCTCTTCCTGAGTATTAACAGCGGGTCTCCCCTTTCCCCAGTGAACATCTTTTGAGAGAGAAAACAAGTATCAGTGAAGTGGCCAAAGGGTTGACAATTAATGGGGGGGTGGGGAAGACCCAATACCAAAAATGAAAAGCTTTATGCTAAAAACAGGCATTCTTTGGTTATTTCCTTTAGCCACTTAAAATAACTCAGATAAACATAATGGTACTTTCCTAAAGAAGAATTTGGTTTGGATTTCCTGGGTATTTGTTCCAACTGCTGCTTGTTCCTATAGGGAAAACAAGGTCATTAAATCATCCTCATTTCCATGGCTGGTTTGAAGGTGGAGGCTTTGGGTTATTGACAGAATCTTCTTTGAAGTGGACTTTTGCCTTCTTGAAATAGGCCTAGACATGCCTGGGTTCCCCCAGTGCCCAGAAGTGCATTTGGACACCACGACTGAGTTATGAAACAGATCTACTTTTAAATCTCACCTTTTCCAGTTGCCTAGCATCTTAAATTTACCCCATAGCATTTTCCTTAGTTTCTTTTTTTTTTTAATAAATATTTTCAGAAAGCTATTTAAAATTTTGAGGAACCTCAGTTTTTAACTCAATTAACTATTCCATATATAAGTATCATTTTGATAGTTGATATGATTTTTTTTTTTTAGTTGATATGATATTTAATATTTTCCAGTTTCCAGCCACTCCCCGCCCTGTCCCTTCCCACCCTCCACCCCCAGGACTGCATCTGGTGTGATAAACTCATCCTTTATTTTGCCTTCAAGGTCCTCTACCTCTGTTTGGGTGTCTGGGAACCGGATGTGGAGAAACCCTTTGCCAAGTGATAGTTTCTACTAGCTTTAATGCACAGTGGAGTGGGAACCATGACAAAAAAGTTTTTTCAACTTTATTTCTGCTTTTTGCTGCCACCCGTGTTCTCCCTCTGCAGTTCTTCTTCTTATCTGAACTCTGTGGCAGTAACTGTGCTCATTTCTTTCAGATGGAGACTATTTTACCTTTACAAGACATGAACCCATTGGCGTGTGTGGACAGATCATCCCGGTGAGTGTATCTCCTCACGCCTTGTATTTATTTTCATTTGAACCAGTTCTCTTAAAGATACATAAAACATGGACCTCAGCAATGTGTGTTTTCCATTACTGGGGAAAAAATACTGAGCTCATGTTGTTGACATATCTTTAACAGCCTCCCTGCAAATGCTTATTTGAACAGGTTAATAGGGTTTCAGCTTCGTTACCAGGAGTTGAATTCTCCAGTCATGGAATTCTCATGATTAAAATAAGCAAAGCAAAGCCCAGTGTATTAATAACCTGCCTTCAGTTATGGATGTCTATTCAGCTTATGGAAAATTAATGCTTTGTTATATTTGTTTGTTGATTTTTTAGAACTGTGACTCACCATTTTTCCAGGCATATTGTTTTATATGGTCTTTTAATCCCATTCTTTCCCACTGTTTCTTTTCACAAGAATCTAGATAGAAGACCCTACAGAAGACACAGCAGTACAATTAACGTCACAGTCATAATTGAAACCATGCCGGGCTGTTGTGTGTCTTGTACAGGGAAATAGATGTACTGCTTAGTGTTTGGATTGGAACATTAAACATTGTCTTTTTTTTCCCTCTCTGCCTCATACATAGCCTTGGCACTATACAAAACATCATCGAGTCTTCCAGCAGGAGAGTCTGGCTAATCATTCTGGCAAGGATTTCAGGGGAGCCTTAATTTAAATTCTTAGAGTACAGACAAGAAGTCTTCTCAAAATATAGGAGAATAACTCAAGATAATCTTCAGCTTTGGGAGCCAAAGATTTGGGGGACATATTAATAAATTATTTTAAAGGTCCACAAACTCTGGGTTACTGTGAAATTTATTCAAGAATGAAAGGAGAAGATGAGAGATTTGGTTTAAGTTCTTCTGCCCCTAAACCACCCAGGGAAATCCCACTCAAATCAGAGCTGGGTTGAGGTCTGTCACCTTAATTGCAGGAACTCAAACCTGCTTTTCCTGCCTTCCCCAGACTCAGTTAGCTGCAGCTTTCACTGACAGGACAAGAGCTGCTTGTCAGCCAGCTCGGCTCAATTACTGCGCTCCCAAGATTTATATACTGTAGATGGAATTAAAACATCACTGTGTACTCCCAAGTTTATAAACAACTAAGGGGAAAAGAAATTGGGTGTTTGGTGAAGGCAAGACACTTGTATATTTTTGCAAGCTTGCCAGGGCCAGTGAGAATCCTTCAAGGATGGCAGCTGAGATGCTTCAGGCAGAAACACATTGTGGTCAGGGGCTGGAGCCAGGGCACCAGGATTTCTGTTTTCTTTCTTAATGAAATTATCAATGACACCTGATAGTACTGAGGCTCATGCCTGCACTTATAACAATACAAGCTTAATATCCTTTTAAAAATTGGTTTAAACCTTCTTAGGCCCCAATCTCAGATACACACATATATTTTTTAGTCTCCATTAGTTTATTTTGCAGTGGCCAGGAGACTAAGATTTTTGCGTCCTCATCAGTAGATGCACTTTATTTTTTGTAATTGTGTGTTTTTTGACAATACATATAGGTAAAGAAAAAGGTTCTGCCTTGAAATACATGCTGACTTTAGGTCTTCCTCTCTGAAGAGCTTTTATACCAGCCTGAAACCCTGGTATAAAAAAAAAAAATCACAAATGCAAGAAAAAGTTTTCATACACAAGAACTTACTGGAACCAAAGGCTAATTTTAAAAACATATAAAATGACAACAATGAAAAGCTGAAACAAAACAAAGACTCCCTTTTTACAATAAGATTTATTTTTGTGGGTAGCTGGAAAATAGTAATTTGCTGACCAGAGAGAGAATATGGGAGATTTTCAAGGTCAATCCTGTTCTCTTCTTAATGAAGTAATTAAAAAATCCAAACATCTATACTGTGTGGTGGGACAAGATTTATGTTAAGGACCAGTATGAGAAATCTGAGAAGTCACAGCTTGAAAACAAAGTAATGGAGGAATATTTTTCCATCTATCAACCCTGAGTTTTTGCCTTTCAGTGGAACTTCCCCCTGCTGATGTTTGCCTGGAAAATTGCTCCAGCTCTGTGCTGTGGCAATACAGTAGTTATTAAACCAGCAGAACAAACACCACTCAGCGCACTCTACATGGGAGCCCTCATCAAGGAGGTAAGAGAAACCGACCTCAGGAGTGGCTCCCACCCTCCTTACAGTCGGGGCCTACTGGAGCATATCCGATTTAATGTGCTTCATCAGCTTTCACAAGCCACGTTTCCTCCAATTCTGTTTTGTTAGGCTGGCTTTCCACCAGGAGTCATCAATATTTTGCCAGGATACGGGCCAACGGCCGGGGCAGCAATAGCTTCTCACGTTGGCATAGACAAGATTGCGTTCACAGGGTCTACTGAGGTAGGTGCCTGAGAAACCACAGCTTAAAGAACAGTTCTGCAAATGAGTAGAGGGTTGGAGAGAAAATTGAAAATGTTACCCATGGACTGAACACCCAAAGAGCAGTGACTACTCAAGGTCTTAACAAACAGATAAGTCTTATCATAGCTAGAAGACTGACGGGTGTCAGAGTAAAGGTGGACATTGACTATTTGTGCCTCAGATCTCTGGATTCTTGTGTGCTCCATTTGTATGAGACCTGTCCCAGAAAAACAAAACCCTTTTATATTTTGGAATAAAAGGAACATATATCAGAGGCAAAAATAAACTAACAAACTGTCCCAAAAGAGTCTATCCCAGAAGCTGGGGTTCTGAACACTTTCTTGAATCAAGAATACATATTAAGAACTGGAGATGTAAATTAATCTCTGGTCAAGATGAAAATGGAAACACAGTTTTGTCTTATGATTATATCCCCAACTCCTGTAGATGCTATTTGCGGCTAACTATGACCATGAGCCTTAAAGGGTCATAGAGAGTAGAGATCAGCGATTTTTTTCTGTAAAACACGGCCAGATAGCAAATGTTGTGGACTTTGCTGGCAATCTGGTCTCTATTGAAACTAGTTACTCTGCCCCTGGAGCACAAAGTAGCCATAGGTAATGTAGTATGAGCTGAACTCAGCTACAGGTGAGCACTGCATGTCCTGTTCTGACTTTCCTCTGGGGTCACTGGGCTCTGCCTGCCTGTCCACCTCTTGGCTCAAGCGCTACTGGGCCACATGTCTTTCAGGAGTTATCAGCCATTCTGGTCAGATGTGACTAGAAGACACTCTTCAGTGAATGGTGCCATGATTCAGCTTTTTGTTTGGGCAGGGCAGACTGGGCCCTAGAGCTGGCAGAAGCCCTCATTTGAGATGAATCAGGCCGATCTGCGCCCATCTGTGTTCCCTGGTCAAAGTGTGCCCCCCAGTTTAGTTCTGCAAATGCACAGAGCCACTGGTTGGGACTACTGCTTGGTCACTGCAGGTGTGAATTCAGTCTGCCAGGATTTGTGTGTTGCAGCACCCCCCCCCCTCCTGCCCAATGCAGTCTCATTTCAGTGGTGGTTGAGCTCTGCAGATTCCCCTGCAGTGCCCATGGTGTGAGATCAGAGTAGTGGCTCCCATAGGTCAGCTCACAGTTCTGAGTTCTCCTTTCCCACTGGAGAAGCCAGAGGGTCAGGAGAAATGTCTCCCCATGGTGTTGCAGTGGCCTGGGGGAGGACAGTGCAGTCACAATGAAGCTGCTTTTTTTTAACCCTTCTCATGGGTCTCTGGTACAGGGGAGTGCTTCCCACTTAACCTTGTGTTCTAAGATTCTCTCAGTGATGTCTTGTTTTTTTTAACACTTGTTCCTTACGCTTCTTGTGAAGGAAAGCAAAGTCTGGAGCAGTCTGTGTTGCCATCTTGGTAATGTCACTCCTCAGTATTTTCACTAGTACCAGATTGCTTTAATTATAAGGTTTTAAAAGATGTGTTGGAGTATGGCAGGCAAGATACCCTCTTACTTGGTTTTTCAAAACCTTTAGGCTGTCCTTGCCCATTCTTTCAGATAAAATTTCACTTTAGTTTTCCAAGTACCTTACCTTCCTCCACACGGCTCTCATTGGTATTTTGATTGCATCCCATTACCGGTCTGTATTAAATTGAAGATGAGTGTTCTTTCTAGAAGACTGACATCTCATCCAGGAATAAGGTATAAACCTCTTCAGTTATTTGTCCTACAGTGTTCATCACTGATGTCATCATTTACATCTTAGGCTTGTCTTGATAAATTAATTTCTAGGAATTTTTTTTCTTCCAAGGATATTTCAGTTTAAAAACTGAGCACTTTTTTTAAAGTCCCAATACCATGTGTTGGAAAGTCATGTTGAGAGGATTACTTAATCTTTCAGGCCAGACAAGAAGTGACATGGTGCATCAATAAGAACATAAGTGCTTGTTTCCATGTTGCCTGGGTTTATATCTCTGTTTTGCCATTCAAAAAGTTTTTTAAACTTTTAAAAAGACTTTACTGAAGTATAATTTACATACAATAAAATGCATTCATTTAAGTACCAAATGTACACTGTCACATAACCATCACTCAAACTAAGATATAGAATATTTCCATACCCTAAAAAGATTTCTCATACCCTTGGCCCCAGGCAATCAGTGACCCTCTTTCTTAATTTTTCTTCCTCTGTTACTTTATATAAATGGAATATACAATATGTATTCTCCCATGCCTGGTTTGTTTTTTTTTTTTTTTTTTTGGTGAGGGGTTTGTTGTTCAATATTTAATGAATTATTGATATAATTGGATTTGAATCTCCCATTTTCACTTTTATTTTCTACTTGTCCCATCTGCTTTTTGTTCCCTTTCTCCTCTTTTTCTGCCTCATTTTGGATGAATTGAGTACTCCATTTTATCTTTTATTTTGGATTATCAGCTAAGTCTCTTTTTACAGTGGTTGTTTTAGTAATTACAATGTGCATTTTAATCACAGTCTACTATTTTAAAGTATTATGTTACTTCATATATAATGTAATAACAATGTAAAAGAATTCTTCTATTTCTCATTGCATCCTTCATGCTGCTGCTGTTCTAGAATTCACTGTTATGTATGTTATGTAGCCCATAGTACATTGCTACACTTCTTGTTTTAAAAATTCAGCTGTGTCTTCAAAGTGAAAGTGTTAGTTGCTCAGTTGTGTCTGGTGTTTTGCAACCCCATGGACTGTAGCCCACCAGGCTCCTCTGTCCATGGAATTCTCCAGGCAAGAATATCGGAGTGGGTAGGCATTCCCTTTTCAAGGGCATCTTCCCAACCCAGGGATCAAACCTGGATCTCCAGCATTGCAGGCAGATTCTTTACCATCTGAGCCATCATGAGAAAACAAAATTATTTTACATTTACTCACGTACTTAACCGTTTCTAACCTTCTCTCTTTTTTTTTTTGGCCTATGTTTCTTTCTGATATAATTTTTTTTCTGTATAGAGACCTTTCTTTAGCATTTCTTATAGTGTGGGTCTGTTAGTGACAAATTCTCCCAGCTTCTGTTTGTCTGAATATGTATTTATTTTGTTTTCATTTTTTATGATTTTTTCTGAATATAAAATTCTGATTCAACAGTTTTTTATTTTGTTTTATTTTATTTTCAACACTTTAAAGATGTCATTCTGTTTGTTTTTTTTTAATGACTTGCTCTGTTTCTGATAGGTTAGCAGTCATTCTTATCTTTGTTTTACTGTATATAGTGGTTTTTCAAATATGTATGCTTTTTCATGTCTATTAATTTTTGAAAGGATGCTGAACATTGTGACCATTACATTATGGACCATTTAGATTTTGTTTTCTTTCTTTTAAGAGTACTGGACTTTTTTCTGTTAGGTAATTAAGTCACTTGCAGTACAGGTTGACCCTTTTGACACTTAATTTTAAGCTTCATTAAGGACTAGTTTATCTTTTACTAAGATAAAATATATAAGATTACTAAGTTGGGATCCTTCTGGATTTTGTAGTGAATGTTCTCAGTGTTCAACTAGGTCTTTCTACTCTGGTTAGAACTCAGATGTCCCCAACCCTATATGAGCTCTGAGGATTATTCAGCATACAGATTCCCTGATCTTTGTTCTTTATCCAGTCTTGTGAAGTATACCAGTCACCACAGGTATACCCTTTAGTTTAGCCTTCAGCCAGAGAATTGATGGGACCTCCATAAGTTTTCTTGACTGCATTGTCAGTACTCTCTTGTACTAAGCCTTTTACTTTTTAACCACCTCATTCTCTCCAAACTCTAATCTGTTCCATCATTTCAGTGAGACCAGCACATTCTACTTTGGTCTTAACATCCCATGATGCAAAAGGTCTTTCTTTATTTCTTTTCTTTTTTAAAAAAAAGTTTTTAATTTTATTTTATTTTTAATTGGAGGATAATTGCTTTATAATATTGTGATGGTTTCATTCCCTTGTTTCTTTTATCTCTAGAATCACAGTCCCATGCTGCATGATATTCCATTTAAAGGAAGCAATTTCATGTACTTTTCTAGTTGTTTACAGTGCGAGAGCAAGTTCAGTGACAGTTTTTGAGAAATAGACTGCCAGTTATTCCTACAGCCAAAATGAGTTTATTCAGAATCAGCGAAGAATTTCAGTTTGGGGTCTACAGCCATGGCAAACCACATGCACACGCTTCCGCAGCAAGGAGAGCGCTCTTTTAAAGAAGGGAAGAGGAAATTGGAGAGCCATAGTAAAGAATCCACTGGAGAAATTGAGAGTTGGAAGTATAGTTGCTTTTTGTTGCCTGACTTGTGACAGTCTTCCCTCATTGCATGAACTCTTGCCAGGTAAGAAGTTTTTCTTTTTTCTGTTGGGCTCTGCTACTGTCATAAGTGGTAGAGTTCCCTTTTCTGATCTCCCAACTCTATTTTAATTGAGGTTTCTGTTTATTAATTTTTTACACTTGCCCCTTTTGATCAAGACCTTTCTCTGAAAGCATTGCTGTTAAGGAGTCCAGTTTTCTGGTTTCAGCAGCATTTTATCTCTCAGTGCCAGGAAGGACCTTTGGTGTAGTTTCCCACATCAGAGGGAAAGGCTGCAGATTGAAAACCTATTGAGGTCACATTATAGTAACAAGGAAGGGTAGGAGGGAGAACTCTCAGGCAGTTTTTATGTAAAACCCTTGTGTTATCAAGATAATAGACATTGGAGATCTTCTGAAGTATCACACCATCATTAAAGGTCTGGCAGGCAAGTTTCCAATAGACCTGGTCCAGATTATCTTGGAAAGGTTGTCTCATCAGATATTGTCTGCTTCAGTTCTAGGGAATCTTTACTTTCAGGTCCCCAGTGATGTGCAGGTCCAGCCAGAGTTTGGTGCTTTCTTTCACTGTATCATGTAAGTCCAAAGTCTGTTCCCTGGAGTTCAGTGAGACATGGGTTGGTTAGCAGGACTAGATAGAGGCATCTTTCCAGCAAGGTTGAAGAAAGTCTTTCT